GGCAGGCAGGCAGGCAGGCAGGCAGGCAGGCAGACAGACAGACAGACAGACACAGACAGACAGGTAGACAGTCATTTTTGAAGCATAGAAACCCTGGATAGTAGAAGGTTTTTAAGGCTTTGTGTATCTTTATGACAGCAGATAGCTTCATCTTTCTCCCGCTGACCTTGGGTTTGAATGACCAACCTTGGAGTTAGCAGCTCAACACTTACCTGACATGTGTGGAGTGAGAGTACAAGTATTATCCCATGATCCCACTAATGCAAGTGCTCCCTGATTTTTAGAGTTCCATATAAAACTGCAGCCAACTTCCAAATTTCACCCCTTTTAACCCTTTCTTGCTAACTGGGTAGGTTAAAGAAGCAGGTAAGCAGTTTGTCCCCCCACACACCAATTTCACTTACATTATCATGTTTAAAAAAACACAACATCTTCAATTCCCGGAAGACCCTTTTGCAAGAGACCAGATTCTGGAAGACGTTGGGCATCTTTTTGAGTGCTACTCTCTTTCCATCTCTTGGATCTGTTACTGACCTAAAGAAGCAGTATTTGGAGGGGGAGGAAGGGAGGAGTGAAAAAGACAAATCAATTTCAGACTTTGTTCAAAGTTTCAGATCATGATATATATCTTTATCTTAAAACATTTTTATACTAAAATTCCACTTAATGTATAAGATATGTCAATGAGAAAGATTAAATAAAACAAACAGCAAAAATACCCCCTATAATAAAATAACTTTAGGCTAATTCACCCACCATTCTTTTCTTTCTTTTTGTAATTTGCGTCTAAATTTCTGTAAGCATTTACCCTTTTCTAATTTAACACTATACCTAAGAAAAGACATTGACTGAGTAAATCAGTGATCATTTTTAAAGATAGGGATTTTAAAGCCAAACAAGCAGAAAAGCAGCACAGACCATTAAGTAACATGACGATGAAACTGGTTTTATCCCTGTTTTCAAAACCATGTTCATTCTGAGGATATCACATTTAGTTAGAGAGAGCCACATTTGGCAAACTGGTTTTCCATGAATTAACCAAGAGCCTTATTTTTCCTCCTTACACTCATTATACTCATTGTTGTTGTAAAATTTACTCCTGACAAGTTATTTTGGTGTGACAGATGTATTGTGCCAACCTGTTCAATAGGAACATGTGGGATTAATCAGGTGGCAGTTTGATTGGAGGGCAGAGATACATGGCTCTCTCTGCAAGGCCCCCCCCACCCCACCCCCCGCCAGTGCCCTCTGGGAGCATGCTGGAGCTGCGTGCTGCTGTTGTAGCTACCATAGTTCTCTGCCTCAACTGGTAAGCTACACTACCCGTGGGCCAAGCCAATCCGTGGATCATGTCGCTAGAATTTGAGGCTCCTTTGAGACCTGCTTTGCCATGCGGCTGGTGCATACATCGCTTAATCTTGAGGCTGGAGGATTCTGTCACCAATATCCCATCCTGGCATGCTTTGCTAAGCGCCTGGAGTTGAAGGACTTTCAGTATATTAACTGTTCCACAGAAGTGAGTTAAACTGAACCTTCTGTACTGCTGTGTGGACTAATTAGCTGTCATATTCCTTCTTGCTGTATAAATAAATCTATCTATCTATCTATCTATCTATCTATCTATCTATCTATCTATCTATCTATCTATCTATCTATACATCTATACATCTAATCATAAGTGTCCTGGTTTTGTTTCTCTAGAGAACCCTGCCTAAGTTTTCTGTCTACCATTATTTTCTAGCGCTGTTTCAGCCTTGGCTATCTACCAGAATTGTTTCATCTATAAATTTAATCTATGTGTTGTCAATGGTGTAAAGTTTGAGAGAAAACTGACAGGAGATCTCTGCACAGACATGAGAAGTCGTCAAAATGAATCACTGGGGTTGTGCTTTATGCACGCATGGGTTTATTCCAAACAAAATGCCTCCCCCACCCCCACCCCACCCCCCACCAAAATGTTGTTTTAAAAAGGTTGGCAACCACTGAGTGGCTGCAGACAAATTTTCTGAGTAAGAAACTTGTCTTAATCTTGTTACGGTGCCTTCAAAAAATAAAAAGAAAGAAAAGGAAAGGAAATAAACAAAAGCCAATCAAAACAGTAGCTACTGAATGGATCTGTTGGGCCAGTTAAATTTAAGGCAGAGAAATTGGCACACAAGGCTATAGGGACTGTTTTTCAATTGGTAGATTTTCTAAGAGGACACAGGACGATCACAGGGGTCTCACAGAGAAAGGTTTACCAAAAATGGAAACTGCACCAGTAAGAAAGAAAGCCCCAAGGAATGTTTTCCTATTGCAACCAATGTACCTGTTGCACATTCTCCAAGGGTACCAAAGGCTGTCCTAGAGAATTCCACTGGGGAGCCTTATTCCATCCACCTTCTAGCCCCACTCTTGTCCCTTCAGATTTTTCTGTTCCCCAAATTCTAATGACAGTTAAAGGCTTGAATCCCTCAAGGTAGTCAAGACTGCCGTCTTCTGTGGTGAATTGAAGAGGAGAGTTCTTCAGAGGAAGGTTAGAGATAGAGACACCACCTTCAGAAGTGTACAGACCTAGGTGGCTATCAGTTATGTTGGAAACAGTAACTTCACATTTTGATGATTTTCCTTAATAAAGGTGTCTATGGATCTTAGAGCAATACTTTTGACTTAGCGCACTAGAAACTGTGTAAAACTGGAGCCCAACATGGTTAATTATCCAGTTAACTACAATGTCTTCAGCTTGTCCAGACAAAATAAGATACCTTGACAACTTGACAAAATGGATGGATGGATGGATGGATGGATGGATGGATGGACGGACGGACGGTGGTGAGTTGTACAAGCCCCCAATGAAATTATTTTAAAAAAAGGTAATACAAATATTAAAAAAAATTAAGACACCTATCAAATTGCTTTCATGAAAGCATTCTTGTCATCTACCTATATAACCACATTGAATTTTTTCCTGAATACCGTATCTTCCTTAACAATGTACTGTAGTGGTTCACTTTCCAAGTAATTACGAAAGCTTGAAATGATGCATTCCAGTATTTTTAAACAGCATGAGGATTCTACTGTCTTCTACTCACTGAAAACTGGTCAAGCAGTATTATCATCTTTTTAAAGTTCTCAAAAGCTTGACATGTAATTCAACTAGAATAGGAGACACTACTATTACTGACTTGCTTTAAAAACACCAAGCATACCTACCACACAGCTGCAAATGCATTTAAACAAAGCAAAATAGGGGGAAACGTCACATATTCTATTCAGGCTATTAATACACAGTCTTTCCCCTCTATTTAAATCTCTGACTGTGCCCATGTAATGGAATATATCAATGAAACAGCAAGAAAGGAAAATTTCAGATCACACAGTGTCTTCACAGTTGTTCGGTGCGTCAGCTGACTTTATTTAGAATGGTTCCTTAGGTGTTTCTTTGTCTTATATGCCATTGCAATTTTCAATTAGTGCAGGTCAGCCATTCTGCATATTCCTCCTGTAGGTCTGCCTAGTATTTTTTTATGTCACAGAAGTGATGTTGTTGTTGCAATGAGATTGTACTCCAACTGCAAACATACTGTCATCGGGTCCATTCTGATTTATACCTCCTTAAGTCAGGGTAGCCCTGCCCCTGTGGGTTTCTGAGACTGCAAATTTACACAGGAGTAGAAATCCTCATCTTTCTCACATGGAGCTACTGGTGGTTGTAAACTGCTAACCTTGTGCTTAGTAGCACAATGTGTAACCCACTACATCACCAGGGGTGTATAATGTCAATATGCCCCAGTACTGGTAATGTTCACTTTGATCAAGTGCTGGGTAGCTGCCTGTTTCTCTGCTATAAATTAACTAGTTAAGTATCTTCTAGAGTAAGGTGACCAGATTTTAACATTGGTAAAGCGGGACACCATTGATAAAACTAATATCCTGGCGAAATAGCCACATGGCAGCTGAAAACCGTATACCCTAGCTCGTCGTGCATTCTTTCCAAAAATCGGGACTTTTTAAAAATGCAGCGGGACGCGGGGGAAAAAAATTGTTCAAAATCAGGACTGTCCCGCCAAAAGCGGACGTTTGGTCACCTTATTCTAGAGAGTTATTTTGAAATGATCATTTTTGCCTGAATCAATTATTACCGATGGTTGTCAAATGGTATAAATAATTTTTATATCTCTACCAACTATAAACACAATTGTTAAAAGGATGTGTAAAAGGATGGAAGCACAATACTATTTTCAAAAACATCACACACCACCATCTTCCCTACTTGTGAACTCTTACTGATCTTGACCCCGCTGTGGTGAGGACGGAGCCTCTGACAGAGCCCACCCCTGGCAACACTTGACAACAGCTCAAGGTTAGCCACCGGGTGCTCTGTAATGTCTTAGGGTGAGAGTCACAAAGCGCATTTTACTCGAGTTTTTATTTTATTATTCACGCAAAAGCCAGTCATGCCTGTGGCTGGTAACAATGTAACTCTAATGAACGTGAGTGGCAGTTCAGTAATTTCACGCCATGTTGAGTTTGTTCTCTCTTAACTTGGGGTAGCAGATGCTTGAGTTCAGCACAAACAGTACCACCCAGCACAGATAAGTGTGGAAGCATGGTACACAGGAATGCTTTCATTTTCTTTGTTACTGAGAGGCTGACTGTGCTGAGCTTCTCTGCTGCCACAATACCCTGGTCACTGCAACTGCACTGGTTAATGAAGCTCCAGCTGCAGCCACAATGAACAACACTGAGGGCAATTTTCCTTGTTTCAGGAAAAAAGGGGGAGCCATCTTTGACCTGTAATTCACTTGCTGGTCAGTGACATGCTCTCTTAAATACCGGGTTCCTTAAATAAAACAAGCACATCTGTCACTTCATCTGATTTCCTTCTTAAATGTTCAACTTACACAAACGGGTGTTTATTTCCTACATTTTAATGTTTGATTCTGAAAATATGTTAAAAATAAAAATTTTAAGAGTTGTGAGAAAGAATTCTTTCCTAATTTCTGCCCCGAGTGCATCAGTTCTCCTCTGCACTTAAATACAAGGTTATCGGTTTCTATTGTTTTTCCAAACAGACACACAAACCACTCTTCAGAGACCGACAGAGCCAGTCAAGAGTGTGCTACCTAAACAGGAAGTTTTGGGATTTGGTGGGATCATTTGTAGGTTGGTGGTGGTGGTGGTTTTTAATTCCAGGAAACTGACCATTGCCACAAATCTGTTTAAATTACCACTGACAAGCAGAAGAATGGAATGACGGGTGAAATGTATTACTGGGGATACTTTCCCAGACACCAGAACGTCCCATTCCAAACAAACACACTCACTGCCATCAAGTTGAGTCATAACAACCTGTGGGACAAGTTAGAGCTGTCTGAGTTTCCAAGACCATAACTTTACCGGAGTAGAAAGCCCGTCTTTCTCCCTCAAAGTAGCTGGTGGTTTCAAACTGCTGGCTTTGTAGTTAGCAGCCTAATGCGAAACCACTAAGTCACCAGGGCTCCCCAAATGTCACATTAGAACATCTTCAATTAGTATACTATTCAGCAGGAAAG